GTGGTTGAGGGAGCAGAGCAAAGAGGGGATAGAGCACAGCAGGGAGGGAACAAGAGGGAGGAGTTGGGGAGCAGAGTAAAGGGGGCAGAGCACAGCAGGGAGGGGACAAGAGGGAGGGGTTGGGGAGCAGAGTAAAGGGGGGCAGAGCACAGCAGGGAGGGGACAAAGGGGGGCTGGGGGAGCAGAGCACAGCAGGGAGGGGATAAGGGGAGGGACTGAGGGAGCGGGACAAGGGGGGGGGCAGCGGGAGAAGGAACCAAGACTGGGGGTTGGGGTCAGAAGGGGCGGATGGCGAGGGAGCGGAACAAGACCGGGGCAGACGGGCGAGAAGAGGGAGGCGCAGAGCAAGGCGGCGGGGGCAGGAGGCTGAGCTGGGGGGCAGAGCAAGGAGGGGGAGGGACTCTAGGTGGGCAGGACGGAAGCCGGGAGGGTCCGTGGGGGAGGCCCCGGGGCGCGGTACCGCCCCGGCCCCGCACTTACCGCAGCCGGGCCCTCAGCGCCGGGCCCCCGGCGGCTCAGAGAGCAGCGCGGAGCCCGGCCCCCCGGTCCTGCTGGCGCGGGGCGGCACGCGCCAGGGCCGAGCCCATCCCGGCGGGCGCCCCTGGCTCTGCGGGCAGCGACAGCGCGGAGCTGAGCAACAGGATCAGCGAATCCCGGAAACGAGGAGAGAGGGCGGCGCGGCCCCGCGCCGGAAGCGAGATTCCCCGCATTGCGCCTGCGCCTCGGCCGCGCGGCGCTCACGGGAAGACGCATGCGTAATGCGGCCGGTTTCCAGCAGCGTCTCGGAAGTGCGCGTGCGCCCCCTGCCTGGCTGGGAAGCGGCGTGTGTACGCCTCCTGCGGCCGCGATAGGCGAGAGTTAGGCATTGCGCATGCGCCCCAGCTGCCCAGTCTAAGCAGCTGGATCTAAGTACAATTGCCTGAGCCGCTCTAGCTTATCAAGAGCTCTGGGCAGTGCCCTACCCCTGTGCCTCTCCCCTGCACTCACGGCATGGGGTAGGAGTTGTGCTAGATACCCCGCTCCTGCAACCCCTGCCAATGTTACTGCCGTCTCTTTTCTCCCACCCCCAAAGGTAACAGAGCATTATCAATCTAAACGCCAATGGACCTAGTTCAGTTCCAGCCACATCATTCCCCTGCTGAAGGGAATGTCAGACTACCCCTCTGATGCCAACTCTAATAGATTATTGGCTATTGCTTTATCAGCTATTTTTCCTCTTCCATCACAGCGTTACAATGAAACATTCCAATACAATACAAGGTGATACAGCTTGTTACATTAAATGGTCAAATAATAAATTTAAGTGAAAACATTATTTCTCAGGATTAACATGCAACGCTTATGTGTGATCTTTTAGAGAGAAAGGCTGTTTAAATTAGGACTCATTTAGCTATTTGAGGTATTAATCTATAGGTACCATTCTCAAATACATTCTGTGGGTTCTAGCCACAAGCACTCACACCCATTCACACTACAAGGCAGCTGCTGGAGTTAAAATCAAGCGCAAAATGCTGAGATAGATGAGTCCCTCTACTAATACAGAATGGAAAACAGAACCCAATCAAACCGGTTGATATTTATGCAGGATGGTTGTCACAACCACTGTGGTTTCATTCAGTTTCAGGAAGCTGGTACAGGGTTGAAAAGATGAACTGGTGGTCTTAATGTTGCTGATGTTTAGCATCAACTAACATGCTAGCTGGTTAAAGTTACTTGCTTGTAGCTGTCAAATCTTAGATATTGCCTGTTGCTGGACTCCTATTCCTCAGTGGCCAGTGGGAACTGTGTAGGAAGCACAGACTGATTTGTCAGGCATGGCGGCATTGCATAACCAGAGACCAGCAACTGATAGTTGCAGCAGCAGCAAGTGCAGGGGGAAAAAGCAAGCCAACAGTAAGGCTTCTTCCTTTCCTTCAACTTTTTGATGATAGTGTATTGGCTAGCTCCTCCTTTTGGAACTTCTCTCAGGAGCTTCTAGGCCAGGGGTCGGCAACGTTTGGCACGCAGTTCGCTAGGGTTAGCACCCTTGCAGGCCGGGCCAGTTTATTTACCTGCTGACATGGCAGGTTGGCCGAGCGCGGCCCCCACTGGCCACGGTTCACCGTCCCGGGCCAATGGGGGTGGCGGGAAGCCGTGGCCAGCACATCCCTCACCCGCGCTGCTTCCCGCCACCCCATTGGCCCTGGACAGCGAACCGCGGTGAGTGGGGGCCGCGATCGGCCGAACCTGACGCGTCAGCAGGCTGGTCCGGACCGCTAGGGTGCTTACCCTGGCGAGCCGCGTGCCGAACATTGCCGACCCCTGTTCTAGGCAAATCAGAACGTATCACTCCACTTCTGAGGTTGCTGGTGTGACAGATGAGGAGATGCTCTGTAACAATCCAACAATGTGGAGATGTGATAATTTTATGAAAACACTGTATGTGACCTGGCCAGTGAAGTGAAGTTGTTGTATATCAGCATATTGACCTAGCTTTATAGGGGGCTATGGGGAAAACAAGCAGTAAAATAACACAATAGCTATTGAAAAGCAACTTCTCAGCTAATACCAGGGAAGCAGTTACAGGACAATGGCATCCTTCCATGCTCCATGCTCCAGGCCAAAGTGACACAGCTGTTCTGCCAGTTCTGGGAACTAAGATGAAAGACTATAAACAGTTTAAAAAAACATGTGTGGGTGGGGTGTCAATTGTCAAGAACGGTCCAAGGAGACTTCCTGATATAGTCAGAGGCTCTGGAGAAGGAGTCTGAAAAAGCTGGGCTTTCCCAGATCTAGGGAACGGTAAGGCTTAAGGAAAAGCAGGCATGAGTAGAGACTGGCTTATTTTTTAAGATCTGTTTTCTCTTAAATGCTTTTGTTCCAAAATAAATAAAACATTGCTTTAAGAAGACTGCTTGGTTCCTGAGAGGGCTGTCTCCAGGCACTAGCCGAGCAAGCTGGTGCTTGGGGCGTCGGATTGTACGAGGTGGCATTCGGCCCAATCCTAGGGCGGCACGGCCGCTTTTTGTTTGTTTGTTTGTTTGTTTTGTTTTGTTCCGCTCCAGCCGCCCTGTAGGGGGCAGTGGTGCGGAGGAAGGGAGCGCCCTGCAGCAAGCCCGGTAGGGCAGCCGCATCCTTCCCTCTCAGCCGACTGCGGCGCGAAGCTCTCCCGGCAGGCGGCTCGGCGGTTGGGGCTGCTGACAGCGCCCCACTGAAGCTCTGGCTGCCCCCTTCTCTCTCTCCCCCCGCTCTCTCCCCCGCTAGCCAGGGCACCAGCGCAGGGAGTCCCCCTGCACCCTGGCTCTGGCCACGCCGCAAGTTTTGGGGTTTTTTTTTTGCTTGGGGCAGCAAAAAAGCCAGAGCCGGCCCTGGTTCCTGAATACCAACATCATTGCTCTTCAAGACAGGAAGACTGCTGGTGCTGAACATAAATCAGACCTGATGAGGTCATCACGGCTGATCACAGGGGACTGCTCTGCAGCCCAAGGCATGGTCAGAGTGGAAGAATCATGTGATTCCATCCTAAAAGGGAGGTGACAGCTTGAGGCCCAAGACCTGAAAGGGGTGTACTTGAATTGCCCAGGAGGGTTCAGAAGTGCAGTTAACAACTGTGACAACTGGCATCATCAAATGGGGGCTGATTAGGTCACCTTTATACAAAGGAAGAACCTTCCTGCTCCAGTAAATTTGGGATAAGAAAGTCCATAGATCCAAAAATATACCTGGTCAGTAGATCCGAGGTAGTTTGAGACATTTGAGGTCATGGGTCAGTCCCAAGGCATTATCTCAACCATCCTAAAGGTAGCAAAATTTGGAAATCCTGTGAAGATGCTGATCATACATGCATTCAGCCATGCACAGAGAGGGACAGTTCCTCTTTTAAGGACAGATGCTTTTAACTTCCCCCTTTATATTTCAATACTAAGCAGCAGACTTTGAACAGCATTTTTTGACACACATTTTTGAATCTGGGTGGTCAGAGTAAAGTCTTTTTCTCCTTAAAAACACACACTATTTAGGTGTTCAATTTTTATATGCAGGCCTATCTGCCTCACATTTTCTTTACACCTGAAGGCCCCAAAACATTATTATTTGAATTATCATAGTGCCTAAGAGCTCTAGTCTACAGACTTGTACCCTCCCCCATGCTAGGTGCTGTACAAACACTGTGTGTGTGTGGGGGAGAAGAGACAGCCCCTGCCCCCAAAATCTTATAATCTAAATATAAGACGAGAGACAAGTAATTGCAGACAGACAAAACGGGGGAGAAGAAGGAAACAATGAGACAATATTGGTCTGAATGACAGTGGTCTCAACACACCAGCAGCCCAACCGTTATCAAGATTTTTGTAGGCCTCATGGCAAAGGAGAGATTCAAGGAGGGATGTGAGGAAGGATAAAGCAGGCTAGTTTTGTGGATGTTTATGGGGAGCTCCTCCGAAGCATAAGGAGCAGCAGGGGAGAAAGCATGATGGTGCTTGTTTGAAAATATAACAAGCTGGATGGAGGCTGGCATCATGGGACGATCAAAGTGGTAACATGGGAATATGGGACTAAAGGAAACACTCTTACAATATGGGTACTGCTAATGTGATAACCCGCACCCACACTCCCAAAGGGCATGGTCTGAGGGTTCGGACGATGGTCCGACCATTCAGTTTATTAGCAGTTACTATTAGAAGGAGCAAGAACAAGCCACCAGATGGTGCTGGCTGGCAGCACTGCTTTCCTGTTCCTAATACCTGTTCGAATCATGCCTTGGCCCAGTGGATCTCTGCAACAGAGGATGTACCAGCCTGCATTTTTTAAACCCCATCACTTCATCAGCCAATACTATAAAAAAAAAGTGCGCATTTTCCATCTTCCCCCAAATAATCCCAGTGCCAGTAGCTTAGTACTGGTGTGCAACCCTATAACAAACCAGTATATGCCTGCAATATCTAGATAAAAATTCAGTACAGCCGATGATTTGATTTCAGTCTTTCTAAAGGGATTTTTATTGAAGTCCTGCACACCATTTTATTATGGTATTTCATTATTTTCCATTTGTTATTATGGCAGATGCTTACAAACTATCCTTTATAAATAAGATTCAGAAGGGGGAAACTGGCATTTTGCATATCCAATCATTTAAAACAAAAGTGTAAACAGCTGAACGATGACAAACTTTGAAAAAAAATCACAGGTACTTTTTTTGCAGTGCGTGATTTTTGCTTGTTGCATGAATGCCATCTAGTGGGACATTGAAAGAAACAGCATAAAGCAACGTCTCTGCTTATCTACACTAGAAAGTTTTGCTCCTTTCACTATACTGGTATAGTTGAAGTGGCAAAAAATACTACTGACTGTGGATACAGTTATCAGTATATAAGTGCTTATACTGCCATATATCAGAGAGGTAGCCGTGTTAGTCTGAATCTGTAAAAAGCAACAGAGGGTCCTGTGGCACCTTAAGACTAACAGAAGTATTGGGAGCATAAGCTTTCGTGGGTAAGAACCTCACTTCTTCAGATGCAAGTAATGGCAATCTCCAGAGGCAAGTATAAATCAGTATGGAGATAACGAGGTTAGTTCAATCAGGGAGGGTGAGGTGCTCTGCTAGCAGTTGAGGTGTGAAGTTCTATTCCAGATCTGAACTTTCTCAAAGTAAAGGAGTGTTTGGATCAGCCCGTTATAGCTATGGGGCCAGCCACATGGTTTGGATGCAGTGTCAAACGGCTAGTCCCA